GTGTCAGAACTTGCATCTCTGTCTCTCTTGGTCGATACTGTTCCCTGTAGCTGCAGGTCTGGGAGGCACCTTGTCACCGTGAGGCCAGAACTCCAGGCAAGGGGACAGATTAAACAAAGGATTTGCTTAAAGCAGCTTAGTACACTTTAGGAGAACAACAAACTCAAAATGGCTGGAGAGTAAGGTGCATTTTGGTTGGGGAAATGAGGAAGCAAGAAGGGCAGGTATTGAAAAATAATACTGGAGAGGGTCAGTAGCCAAATTACAGAGTCTAGTGTGTAAACCTAAGGGATTTGGGCAATGAGGAGACATTGGAGAATTTAAGTAGGGAAGGGACCTGATCAGGTTTTAATAAATCAGTGGATGGGTTAGAAGATATGATAAGAAACAGGGAGAGGAGGTGAAACAACTTATATTCTGAACTATCATAGCCACATCAGAAATACTAGCTCAGGGAGTTGCTTGACAAGTAGAATGAAGATCACTCAATTACCAAGTATGTGTGAGGAGTCTTTGATTCCCAGATTTCTAGACAGAGGAGCCATTCCCTCAGCTAAGGACTGTGTAAAGAGACACTGGTTGGGAAGCTAAAATGTCTTGGACAGTGTGGCATTTGAGGTCTCTCAGCACTATCTTACCCAGCGCTGAGACGAGAAGTCAAGGCTTGAGATGCATGCTGGGGAGTTGTGAGCCTTTCTTTCTCAGGAGACATTTTAATGACACAGCACAGTTGGCCGACTGCCTCAAATCTTGTAAGGAGAGGGTGTTAGTGAGCTTGCTTCTCTTCATCTATGTCTCCCTTTTGACCTTTGTCTGCTGAGCAGAAGTTAGTAAAGAGAAAAACAGCTACAGATTAATGTAACAACTATGAGATCATGAAATTGCAGAATTAATTTCTCCCAAATGGACAGGTACTCCATCAGCCCCATCCTTGTCTTTGTCTTTCTTTGTTTTGGGAGAACACAGCCTTGCACTCTCCAAACAGATATGTGGAGTGAATCTGCAGACACTGGTCAAGAGCACCCCTATCTCTGGACAGCTGCTGATGGATGGATGGCCAAACGTATCAGACTTCCTTGTCCCAGCAGGGCAGAAATCACCAACAGAAATCGCCAGAATCTCTGATAAAACAATGTGCTTTGCTTCCAGACTTCCTCCTTCTTACTTCTTATTACTTAAGTTTCATGCCATTAATTCAGGCAACATAAAAATTGCCAACCAAAATTGTATGCATAAATCACACAATCTTGGGGCAAGGGAGAAGAGAAATAAAGATCAGTGTGATTCTCTGGGGGATGTGAAAAGGGCTTAAGATCTCATTTTTAAAACTACCTGCCCTGGGAGATGTGCAAAGCACTTCATAGCATTTTTTCCTTCCCCTTTTCTCCTCCTCCCCCTCCCCTTCTCCTCTTCTCCTCTTCTTCATCTTTATCTCATCTTCTTTTTTTTTAAAGTAAATTTAAACTTTATTTACTTATTTTGAGGGAGAGGAACAGAGAGAGAATCCCAAGCAGGCTCTGCACTGTGAGCATGGAGCCCAGTGCAGGGCTTGAGCCTACAAACTGTGAGATCATGACCTGAGCCAAAGTCAAGGGTCAGACACTCAACCGACTGAGCCACCCAGGTGCCACTCATCTTCTCTTTTTTTTAAGTTTATTTATTTATTTTGAGAGAGACAGAGAGAGCATGATCAGGGGAGGGGCAGAGAGAGAGGGAGAGAAAGAATCTCAAATAGAGCACAGAGCCCAATATGGGGCTCAAACTCATCAAACCGTGAGATCACGACCTGAGCCAAAATCAAGAGTTGGATGCCTAACTGACTGAGCCACCCACATGCCCCTATCTTCATCTTCTTTTAATTCACAGAATCCTTAATGATCAGCCCACTTCTTAGTTCAAAACACACTAATGGCTGTCCCTCTTGTTCATCATAAAAGCCCAAGCCTGCACATTGGCCTACAAGGCCCCCCCACACCAAACCCTCCTACCTCCAGTTATTTCTTTGCTTCCTCCAGCTTTTCCTCCTCCTTCCCTCAGCTGCAGCCACACTGGCCTCCTTGATGCTCTTGGAGCCCTCAGCAGTGCTCTGGCCTCAGAGTGTTTGTGCTTGCTGATCCCTCTTCCTCCCAACCACCTGTCACCTGGCAAGTTCCTAGCACACAAAATGGCAATTTCCCTGAGCACTCCATTCAAAATTGCAGCTCTTGTTCCCACATCATCCACATCCTCTGCCCTGTTTTATTTTTCTTTATAGTCCTTATCACCTTCCCATGCACTGTGCAATTTCATTATTTTCATGTGTTGCCAATGTCTTCATACTAAACTGTAAGGCATGGAGTTTTGCCACTTTGATTTCCCACGGTGTCATCATCACATTGCAACAGTGCCTGGCTCTAAAGGGCCAATTCTTCATGATCCCCATTCATAGATGGGGTGACTTAGCTGAGAACACTGAGATCATTTTCCCAGGTCACATGATCACTACACAGTGAAGCCTTAAATTCAAACACAGATTGGTCTGGCCCCAGGATCCACATTCTTTTTTCCACATTGTGGCTTCTTTCCTTTCCAAATTGCTAATTAAATACTTTCCTAGTATCAGGGGACGGCTTCCATTCAGCGAATGGCCACTCTCTAGACTCTGAATTCTTGGTCAGGGAGTCAGACTGTGAGAAAGGCCAAGAAAGGAAAGAAATGACATCAACACTAGTGTAGGGGTTCTCCATGCTCACAGGAGTGAAATGCCCAGCACTTCCTGAGATCGCTGGAAACACCCTTCCCCACCCCCAGTCTGGATCACAGGCACACAGGCTGTGGGAAAACTGGTGACACACACGTGCCAGCCAAGAGTTCCACGTAGATTGCATTCACAGATGTCTAATTGAAGCTTGCTGTTTATTAACAGAAGCTGCTTTGCCATTCAGAAATGGGAGTTAATCAAAATATTGCAAATGGCGCACCTTGAGAAATGTCACTCCTTATCATGATTGCATTTCCATATTTTTTCCACGTTTGGTGCGTGTATGAAATGCTTTTAGAAATTATACACTACTCACACCAGCCCCTGGTGGCAGGATGCATCTGAGTCTGTTTGGAGGATTTGGCAGAAACGGTATTGAACCATATTTCAATACAGCTTTATGTGCTGCACATAACCTACATTTCTATAGCAATCGGTTAGAAGCAGAGCAATTCCTGGCACTTCTAGCTCACACAGAGCCCCAGAGAGCCCTGCTCCCTTCTCCCTTCCCTCTCTGTCAGTCATCAGGGAGTAAAGGTCAGGGGCTGGAAGCAGATAATTATGCTGCCTCAGGAACCAGTGTTTCCCTCTTAGGACCCTTGGAATGTAATTCATTTCTCATGTCTTTCTTCTCAGGTATTAACAAAGTCAACAAAAAAAAAAAAAAAAAGATTTTTTTCCCCATCAGGACTTGCCTGCCCTGATTGAGAGCAGTCAGCATGAATTTTAATCACGGTGTCTATTTTTCAGCCCTGAATTTTCCATAATCAATTGCTTTTTGTTTATTAATTGAAAGCCAATATGTATAGGGTTTTAGAATTGCTGGATATTGACCCCTAGGAGACTACTCATTCACATTCAGAACCTGGCTGGCGTGTGCTTCTCCATAGAGCCCAAACTTATGTAAGAGGTACATTAGAAGATGATTTTTTCTTGTTGAAGTGATTCACTGTGTGGTTCTTTAAATGGGTTAACTTGTGCTGTAAATTAATTTACACAAAAGAGAGTCAAATCCTCTCTCATTATTTATTTATTTTTTAAAGGAGCAAATCTATATCAGAAGTGAGATACAGGTGGATTCTCCTTATATTGACCTTTCTTTCTTACTGTGTGCCTCAGGGCTTTGCTCTGGTTTGTTTTCCTCTAGTTACTCTACCCTGTTTACATTTCTGAGGTGGGTGAAGGAGGTTGTGATGTCAGGGGTATGTTCACATGAGTGTGACTCATTGCATCCCCATAACTTCTCCGAGGGGAAAAGACTATGGTGATGGCATTTGAATAGGCACACATTGATTGTTGTTTGTCTGTTTGCCAGGATGTAGTGAGGGGATGTCAGTGTTTCACAGAGGACTACTGGAATCTACTGGAATCAGAACAAAGCATTCTTTGATTTCTTTTCTACTTGGCACTCCATAACACTTCTCCCATTTACTGATTGTATTAGTTTGCTAAGGTTGCGGTAACCACCACAGACTGAGTGGCTTATAAAACAGAAGTTTATTCTGTCACCGTTCTGCAGGCTAGAAATCCAACTCAATGTGTCAGTAGGACCCTGCTCCATCTGAAGGTACTGGGAAAGGATGTTTGAGGCCTCTCCCCCCGCTTCTGATAGTTCCTTGGCTTGTGGTAGCCTAAAGCCAATCTTCACATGGTGTTTTCTTGATAGACATAACTGTGTCCAAATTTCCCTTTTCTGGAAGAACACTGGTCAGGTTGGATTAGATTAACTCTACTGCAGTATTAGCTCATCTTAACTAGTTACATCTGCAATGACTCTCTTTCTAAATAACATCACATTCTGAATACTGGGAATTAGATCTTTAACATATGAATGGGAATCACATAATTCAGTCCATAACACTGACCATTTTTATCTGTTGTTGCTTAACAAATTATCCCTAAACGTGGTGCCCTAAATATTTACTATCTCACAATGACCGTGGGACAAGAATCTAGGCATGGTTTATCTAGGTTCTCTAGCTCTGGGTTTCTTCTAAAGCTTTAGTCAAGCCTGCCCTAGGGGTGAATCTGTCTACAGTCTCACTCAGGTGATTGTTAGCAGGATCTGGTTCCTGGTGAGTGGTTGGAATGAGGGTCTCCATTCCTTATGACATACTGGCCAGAGGCATTTCTGGGCATGGACAGCTCATAACAATCTGAACAAGCAACACGGCAACAGACAGTGTGGGAGGTAACAAGATGGAAATCAGTGTTTTATAACCTGATCTAGCAATAATACTGTCCATATTCCATTTGTTAGAAGCAAGTCACTGGATCCAGTCCACACTCAAAGGGAGGGGATCTCAACAGGACAAGGATACCAGGATGCAAGGATCTTTGGAAAGCACTTCTCAGATGCTGCTTACCTTGGTCTGCCCTCTGGGCCATCCTTTTTCATGAAAGCCTGTGCACGTTTGTATCCAGCTAGTTTGGTGGGCTTGCTTCTTGCCAGTAGACTTTCTACGGTCGGCCGACCTCATTTTTTATTGTCTCTACTCCTTTCAATCCAAAATACCACTGTTCCTGCTGATCTAATTTTCTCAAAAACTCTGAGAGATTTCTGTGAATCTTATTGGGGTTTGCTGTACTAGAAAAAAAAAAGTCACATCCTGAAATCTCTTAGAGAAAAGCTTTTCTCTAGTTTGGATTTTGTTGAGAAGGCTGAAACAAAAGTCCTCATGCTTCCCAGGGGTCCTATTGTTCCCGAGACAACTTGTATGTAGTGCCCTCACTCTCTTCAGCAGCCCCTTGTGTGGGATCCACTAATCGTCTGATCCTTCGATCTTTTTGAAGTCCTAACCAAGGGCAATGCTGTCTCATTCAGCTTTATTTCTAGACCACATTTTCCTGGCAACCTGGAAGCCATTTCTTAATTTTAGCATCTTTTGCTATCTAGAGAAGCTGAGAATTTTCAAAATCATCAAATCTTGGCTCCTTTTTGTGTAACAGTTCTTCCATCAATCTGTCACTCTTGCAGTTTACTGTAAGCAGTAAGAAGAGGCTGCAACACAGCTTGAAAATCTCCTGGGCAAGATCACCACGTTTATTAGTGCTGGTCAAGACAAAATTGTCAGGTAGAATATGTACTTTAACAGCCGTCCCTCTCCCCAAACCCTGGGAATAAATACATATGCTCCCCGTGGCATCTCCCTGCTCTTCTCCCCGCCCCCCACTCTCCACCCCCTCTGACTTCATTGCCCTTTGTAGTTCCTATGTTTTTAGAACCCCCAGTCTGACAAACATCTTGTTTCCAGTAGTTCAAGTATTAGATTCAAGTCCTTGGACACTTAGAGGTGTGTAGTGATAGATTCATCTTACAAGCCAACCATTGACATATAGTTAGCTAATATGCTATTCCCACTACATTATCTCAATTAAAAAATACACCATAGACTTTAAAGAGTATTAAAGCCATATGGTTATATAAAGTTATAACTCTAATGATTTACATTTGAATAGTTTTTCCACTAATTTTACCATTTACAAAGGGCTTTCATTAATCCATTTATTTGTCACCAAAGTCCTATGCAGGAGTTGTCTTAACCTCAGTTTAGAGAATAGAGACGTGGGGCTCAAGGAAGATGAGTCATTTTATATCTATTGCATGATTTAGATGGTGTCTCATGGCACCAGGACTCCAGACTACCCCAGTGTACCCCACTCTGCATCATAGAAGTCCTGCAGGGACAATATAGAGGATATAGTTATTTGCAGTGGGGATCATGATGGGAGGATCCTTTCACTAGGAGGATTTCTACATGTGCCTCAATTCTGTCTACATCATTGACTTTGCCTATTATAGACACTGCAAGGACTTTTGTAGTCTGTGATTTGTTGTTTTGGTCCAGAACCAACCCAGGTGCTCTGGAGGATGCTGCATCAGGCCACAGCCTCCCAGAGACTTTCTGTGAGCACATGCTGACTCTCTTGATCCCCTTCTTTGGCCTATGTATAAGACAGAGTTTTGCTCTGTTTACAAAATGTACTGACAGCTTTCAGTAGTGGATTTGAGCATCTTCTGAAAGGGTTGACTGTTTATAGTTGGTGCTGGTTAACAAATAAACTCTGAGCCTGAAGGGGGCGGTGGGGGGGGAGAAAGGAAAAGAAAATTAGTACAGAATCCTCTTTATCTGTGGATTTGTCATTTTGGAGTTTGCTATAATTTAGATGAGCTGACAGAAAACTGCTGAACTTGGAATTGAATGTCTTAAAGAATTGAGTCTGTCTCCATGGCAGCGACGTTGGCCTGGCCCCAGGATTTCAGCATGTTGGAGGTGAAAAATCCTGGAGAATGGCTTTGCCCATTTCTCCATTGAATAGCTGAAGAAGTTGAGGTTTCCCAGATGAAGCTACACTTTCAACATAGCCATTTAGTGGTAATTCCAGGCCTAGATTTTAAATTGAAGGCTCTTTCTGAGTTCACTTGTTTTGGGGTTTTGATAATAATGTAATAATTGTCAAATAACTAGTATGAAAATTGCATTATCATTGTAGTATTATTTTTACCACCAGCAGGCCAGTCAGGGTGCCTGAGTCCTCCCTGACCCCTCAGTGACTCTTGCATTGGTACAGACCCCATGCCTCCTCTGTCAGCTTCTAGACCTCTTCCTCTCCATCCCAGCCTGGCGTCTCTCCCTGAAAACTGGCTACATCTCATCCCACCATACTTCCCAGTATCCTTCCTAGCAATCAGCCTCACACAGTATTTCTTTTCTGTTTTTATCATTTCAGTCCCCTGTCCTTCCCTTTCCCATGAGCTCCCTACATACCCCACCAACACATGCTTCTGCCAGCTCATTCCTTTGTTTCTACTACTCTGCTTCACAGACTTCAATTCCTATCTGCCCAAGGGCCAGCTTGAGGAATGGCTTTCCACCTCTACAGTTGCTGACCTGGGCATACTAAGAGTCATTTGGAATTGTTGGCCTCCAGGTTCTCAAAAGGCACATACCCCAGGACATTTGCATATGAGTGGAAGGAAAGGAGGACAGCATCTCAAGGGTTTGGCCGCCGTTTCCTCTCCTAATTCCTAAACTTACAGTCACTAAAATGTTTGAGAGAGGCTACACATTATTTGAGCATAATAGCAGGCATTCTCTCCATTATTTTTCATTTTATCTTGCATTTTGAGAAAAATTAATGGAATTTACATGATTGTAGGACTTAAAAAAAAATGAATTTGGCAGGGAGCCTGGGAAGATAGCAGAGTAGGAAGATCCTAAGCTTACCTTATCCCATGGGTACACCTAGATCACAGCCACAGCAGTGTAACTAACCCAGAAAATAACCGAAAGACTATCAGAACAGACTCTCTGCAGTTAATCATAGAGAGGAGACCACATCGAAAATGGTAGGAGGAACAGAGACACATTCAAGAGCCAAACTCCCTGTGAGACCAACCACAGACAGGAGGGACACCAAGAGCACAGAGAAGGGTGAGGAGCAGACCACACACCTGTACCCCAGACAGGAGAGACCTCTACTGGGAAGATGAGTCCCTATAATATTTGGCATCAAAAACCAGAGGGGCTTAACTATGTGAGTTTTTACAATGAGTGAGGCTTAACTCTGAGTACTTTAAATTTCAGCAGGCTTAGCTCTGTGAGAGCCACAGAGCAGTAGGAAACTGAGTCCCTGCACTTAAACAGCCAGCATAACAAACAATCCTGTGAAGATACAGCATAGAAGCAGCAGCTGAAAACACTTGGGGTATACTGGAAAGATATTTATTTACTGATCTCAGAACATGCACTGGATGCGGAGGATCTTTATGAAACTTCTCCAAGAACAAAAGAGCTACCGGGTGCCATTTCTCCTCACCCCCCAACCTTCACCCTAGATATCTGGAAACCTGCCAGAACCAGTGTGCAAACACACACAGCTTGCTAACAGCTTACCCTGCCTGTGTGTTCTCCTGTAGATCTGTCCCATCCAACCTGCCCCACTTGGTGGGAGTCCCTCCAAGATGGCACCTGAAATTCTACAAGCAGCCCCAATAGTGGCCAGCACTACTCCAACATGATTCTTGCCCTAGGAAAAGGGGAAGGTAACCACACACATCAGTTTGACTGTACCCCTAGCAATGAGTTAGTGGCAGACATCTGATCTCACTTTTGGCATTTCCCACCAACAAAAACCTCACAGGGGACAGGGAAATAAGAAAACCCTGTAGTTTGGAGTCACTGCAACCCCAACAGACAGACTGAGGGAAGACATCTGATCTGACCCAACTACAAGACTAAGGCAGACCCAGACTGGTCTCTTAAGGCACAAGGACCAAACCCGGTCTGCAACAGGCAAAGGGGGCCATTGCAGATGACTGGATTGAAGGCAAAAGCATTTCAATCACAACATAATGGTACACAAAATATATGAGACACCCCTGAGTCACCTGGTTCTTGTGGACAGGGGACACTGCACTGCAGGGCACTACAGGACCTCTTCTTCATAAGACCACTACTTCCAAGATCAGGGGACGTAGATGACTTTCCTAATACATAGAAACAAACACAGAGAATTAGAAAAAATAAAGATACAGAGGAATATGTCGCCAATGAAAGAGTGTGACAAAATCACACCAAAGGGCTACATGAAATGGAAATAAGCAATCTACCTGAAAGAGAGTTCAAGGTAATGGTCATAAAGATACTTACTGGACTTGAGGAAAGAGTGGAGGACCTCAGTGAGACCTTCAACAAAGAGATAGAAAATATAAAAAAGAACCAATCAGAGATGAAGAACTCAATAGCTGAAATTAAGAATACACAAGAGGGAATAACTAGTAGGCTAGAGAAAGCAGGACAGATCAGCAATCTGGAAGATAGAGTAATGGAAAGCAACCAAGCCGAATAACAAAAAGAATAAAGATTAATAAAACAAGAATAGATTAAGGGAACTCAGCTACATCATCAAGTATAATAACATTTGCATTATAGGGATCCCAGAAGGAGAATAGAGGGGAAAGGGGGCAGAAAACTTATTTGAAAAAATAATAGCTGAAAACTTTCCTAATCTGGGGAGAGAAACAGAAATCCAGATCCAGGAAGCACAGATAGCCCCAACAAAACCTACCCAAGAAGGTTCACCCAAGACACATAGAAATTAAAATGACAAAAGTAATGAAAAAGAATTTTAAAGGCAATGGGTGAAAAAATAATTTTATACAAGAGAAACCCTATAAGACTATCAGCTGATTTTTCAGCAGAAACTTTGCAGGCCAGAAATGAATGACATAATATATTAAAAGTGATGAAAGGAGGAAACTTGCAGCAAAAAATATTTCACCCAGTAAGGCTCTTGTTCAGAATAGAAAAATAGATCTAGCCTTTCAAGAAATGTTAAAGGGAAGTCTTTGAGTGTAAAGAAAAATAGTGAGAAAATTATGAAAGGGGACACCTGGGTGGCTCAGTCAGTTAAGTGTCTGACTCTTGGTTTCAGCTCAGGTCATGATCTCACAGTTTGTGAGTTCAAGGCCACATTGGACTCTGTGCTGGTGGTGTGGAGCCTGCTTGGGATTCTCTCTCTCTATCCCTCTCTCTCTGCCCCTTGGCTGCTCACACACACACACTCTCTCTCTCTCTCTCAAAATAAATAAATACACTTAAAAAAGAAAATTATTAAAGGAAAAAATTTTTCACAGGTAAATACAAACTTAATAAAAGTCGTAGATTAATGATTTATAAAAACACTATGGAGGAGTGCCTGGGTGGCTCAGTTGGTTAAGTGCCCGACTTCGGCACTGATCTTGTGGTTCATGAGTTTGAGCCCTGCATCAGGCTCTGTGCTGACAGCTCAGAGCCTGGAGGATGCTTCGGATTCTGTGTCTCCCTCTCTCTCTGCCCCACCCCTGCTTGCATTCTTGTCTCTCAAAAGTGAATAAACGTTAAAAAAATTTTTAAAAACAGTATGGAGATTAAAGCACAAAAGGAATAAAATCAATTATATGTATAAAAGTCAATCAAGGGACTCACAAAATAAAAGGATAGAAATTATGACATCATATATGTAAAACATGAGGGGAGAGTAAAAATGTAGGGCTTTAGAATGGGTTTAAACCTAAGCAACCATCAACTTAATATAGACTGCTATATGCATGGGATGTTATATGTCAACCTAATGGTAACCACAGATGAAAAGCTGGAAACCTGTAACAGATATGTGAAAAATAAAGAGAAAGTAATCCAAGCATATTACTAAAGAAAGCCATCAAACCACAAGGGAAGAGAGTAAGAGAAGAAGGGAACAGAGGAACTACAAAAACAACCATAAAACAAGTAACAAAATGACAGTAAGTACATACGTATCAATAATTACATTGAATGTAAATGAACTAAATGCTTTACTCAAAAGACAGAGGTGACTGAATAGATAAAAAAGCAGGACTCATCTCTGCTGCATACAAGAGACTCACTTCAGACCTGAAGTCACTTGCATATTGAAAGTAAAGAGATAGAAAAACATTTACCATACAAATAGAAGCAAAGAGAAACCCAGGAATAAGTCTAGCAATACTTATATCAGGCAAATGAATTTTAAAACAGACTGTAACATGAGATAAAGAAGGATACTGCACAATAATAAAGGGAACGATTTAACAAGAAAATATAACAATCACACCCAACATGGGAACACCCAAATACAACCATTTACAGATATAAAAGAACAAATTGATAGTAATATACTTTTAGTAGGGGGCTTTAACACTCCACTTAACATCAGTGGATGGATCATTAGACAGAAAATCAACAAAGAAACAATAGCTTTGAATGACACTTTGGTTTAGATGGATCTAACAGATATATTCAGAACATTCCATCCAAAACAGCAGAATACATCATCTTTTCAAATGTACATGGAATCTTCTCCAGAATAAATCACATGTTAGATTACAAAACAAGTCTCAACAAAATCAGAAAAGATTAAAATCATATTAGAACAGAAATAAGTGAAAAAGAGTCTAAACAACAGTAGAATAGATCAATGAAACCAGGACAGAGTTCTTTGAAAGGATAAATAACATTGATTAACCATTAGTCAGACTCCTCAAAAAGAGAGAGAGAGAAAAGACTCAAGTAAGTAAAATCAGAAATGAGGAGAAATAACAACCAACAGAACAGCAATACCAAGGATTATATATAGTACAAAGGATTATGCATTATACATGAAAAATTATATGTCAATGTTTGGACAACCTAGAAGAAATGAATAATTTCCTGGAACCTTTAACCTTCCAAAACTGAATCAGGAAGAAATAGAAAATTTGAACAGACTGATTACTGACAATAAAATGGAATCAGTAATCAAAAACTCTCAACAAATGAAAGTCCAGGAACAGATGACTTTGCAGGTGAATTCAACCAAACATTTAAAGAGTTAATACCCAAAAATAAATAAACGTTGAAAAAAAAATTTAAAAAAAAAAAAAAAAAAAAAAGAGGGGCGCCTGGGTGGCGCAGTCGGTTAAGCGTCCGACTTCAGCCAGGTCACGATCTTGCGGTCCGTGAGTTCGAGCCCCGCGTCGGGCTCTGGGCTGATGGCTCAGAGCCTGGAGCCTGTTTCCGATTCTGTGTCTCCCTCTCTCTCTGCCCCTCCCCCATTCATGCTCTGTCTCTCTCTGTCCCAAAAATAAATAAACGTTGAAAGAGTTAATACCTCTTCTGCTCAAACTACTCCAAAATTTAGAAGAGGAAGGAAAATTTCCAAAATAATTCCATGAGGCCAGCATTACCCTGATACCAAAACCAGATAAAGACATTACAAAAAAGAAAACTACAAGGCCAATATCTCTGGTGAACATAGATGCAAAAATCTTCAACAAAATATTAGCAAACTGAATCCAATAATACATTTAAAAAATCATTCACCACAATTAAGTGGGATTTATTCCAAGGATGCAAGGTGGTTCAATATTTGCAAATCAACCAATGTGATGTATCACATTAACTACATAAAGGATATAAAACCATATGAATATCTCACTAGATGCAGAAAGAGCATTTGACAAAGTACAAGATACATTCATGATAAACTCTCTCAACAAAGTAGGATTAGAGGGAACATACCTCAATTTAATGAAAGCCATATATGAGAAACCCATAGCTAACATCATACTCAATGGTGAAAAACTGAAAACTTTTCCTCTAAGATGAGGAATAAGACAAGGATGTCCATTCTCACCACTTTTATTCAACATAGTACTGGAAGTCCTAGCCACAACAATCAGACAGGAAAAAGAAATAAAAGGCATCTAAATTGATAAGGAAGAAGTAAAACTTTCAGTATTTGTGGATAGCATGATACTGTATATAGAAAACCCTAAAGACTCCACCAAAATATTGTAGAACTGATTAATGAATTCAGTGAAGTCACAGGATACAAAATCAACATACAAAAATCTGTTACATTACTATACACTAATAATGAAGTAACAGAAATTTTAAAATAATCTCATTTACACTTGAACCACCAAGGAATAACATATGTAGGAGTAAACTGAACGAAGGCGGTGAAAGACCTGTATTCCAAAAACTATAAAACTCTGATGAAAGAAATTGAGGATGATATAAACAAATGGAAAAATATTCCATGCTCATGGATTGGGAGAACCAATATTGTTAAAATATCCATACTACCTAAAGCAATCTATAGATTTAATGCAATCAATCTCTATAAAAATGCAAACAATAGTTTTCACAGACCTAGAACTAATAATAATGAAATTTGAATTTTAAATTAAAAAAACTTTTTTTTTTTTATTTTTTTTTTCAACGTTTATTTATTTTTGGGACAGAGAGAGACAGAGCATGAACGGGCGAGGGGCAGAGAGAGAGGGAGACACAGAATTGGAAACAGGCTCCAGGCTCTGAGCCATCAGCCCAGAGCCCGACGCGGGACTCGAACTCACGGACCGCGAGATCGTGACCTGGCTGAAGTCGGATGCTTAACCGACTGCGCCACCCAGGCGCCCCAAAAAAACGTTTTTTAATGTTTATTTTTGAGAGAGACAGAGCGTGGGTGGATGAG